GGTTTTTTCCCCCATTTTTGTCACCAATGGAGTTTTGGTTCCTTGCCACTGTTGCCTTTGGCTTGTTTAGTTGGGGACACTTAATTTCTGGCAATATTGTCGACTTGCCTCGAAACACCACAGGCTGGCAACTCCTGCTGGTCAAATCAGTGTAAATGCAAGGAAAACTCGGCCTAAAATATGTATGATCCTTTTAAAAACCAATTGCAAATGTTTTCACGAAAGAGTAGGCTATATGTATTCAATATAATGTACAAATAATTACTTACCATTACATATGAAGGTTTTGTACAATTTGTGTTATTTTATTAATGTGTAGTGTTTTGTGTGTTGTGTGTTATTGGGCAACTAGGTCAGTTAGAAGCAGATAAATATTATTTTTATATTATACATGCAGTATTAAAATTTATTAAATAAAAATGAACCTAAATTATAAAACTGAACCAAGATCAGTTAAAACCATTGGACACTCATTTATCATTTCACCAGATCAACAGCATCTAGTGGCGAACCATCGAAATTCGACACAAGCTCCAAACCACTGATTTGAAAACAAAAGGTTTTTGGTTACAAGTAAAGAACCTACAGAGAACTTTCCCAGTTCACATTTGTTTCCCCCAAAAAACCCAAACGGAAAACCGTATGGGAACATTACGGAAATGTTCTGTGTTTGCTGGGTAATAGCTAGCAACTAATGAACACAGACACACACACACACACACACACACACACACACACAGTACACCTTATAACTGAAAATAATTAGCCTGTGACTCAGAAACAGAGCTTATTTGCAGAGAAGTGTTTCTGAGAACTGTGGTATGATTCAAATGTTTCTCCATTTTGGAAACACGAAACCTTCCTCTTGTGAATCTTTGGTCTATTGCCTTTGAAATGCTCTCTGCTCCTAACCCTGCAGAAGTATAAGGGGGTCAGAGGTCCCGTATCTGAATGTCTCTTGAAAGGACGCCCTCTCAGTTTCAGAAGGACCCAGTGGGATGCACAATGCAGCGGTAAGGCCACGGGTCTCCTGAACCTCAGATATGTTCCACCGCCCTCTGCTTAAGATATATGGTCATGCATTGAGGTAGAGTTACCACACAAGCTGAATAATGTAACATTCTTCGACGTCTTCCTTTCCTGCATGCTGTGATCTTATTATCTGTGTTGCTGAAGAACAATGTAGTTACCACCTAAAATGTCGTTTTTCATGGTCATGATTTTGTCAGACAACTTATTTCAGCCCAATTAGCTCCTGCTAAACATTAACATACTGTATGTGTGTAGTGGAAGTGACCTCGGTGGGGATATTTGTTCACTTTTCTGTCTGACTGAATGTTAAACAAATGAAGGACCAATTTTCTTCATAGTTGACTGTATGGGCCGGATACAGCCATTTCCTGCAGCTGTGTCTGGCATGCGCTGTCCCTCTAACCCCCCACATAGAGAGTCCAGTCTCTGCTGCTGCCCCTGTTAAAGACTAAAACCCTTAAAGGCATCAGAAAGCTAGGTGCTGTAGAGCGGTAAATTAGGAAGGACAAGACTTTTTTACACTCTGTAAAAAAATAGGCTAAATGAGAATCTACATAAAAACACATGCTAGACTAACAATATTCCCCTGTTTGTTGTTCCATCTAGTTATCCAAGCAAACAATGCAGATTTGTGAGCTCCCAGCATGCATTGTAGCATAAATTGATTATCTGGTTGTTGCTTGCTGATGTTTTTGTCGTCATTCTTAGTTATTTGTTGTATAGTGATGTTAAGAGCTCATTCCGTGTTTGTGCTTGTCACCATGATTGACGTTTGTGTTAAGCATTGAGCATTGTTTGTGCCTGTGTTGAACTATTGCTTTTAATATCTTTGCAGTTGCACAGTGGAAATTATACAGTTGCTGTCAATGGGAGAATTTTAAAAGAATTTGGACTTTTTGATCTGAAACATCTGCAAATTAATTTGCAATCTGTTGAGGATCGTCTTACACAATGTAGTTAATGAGTTAAGCATCAACTATCTTCTAACTAACAACTGTATTTTAATTTATTTTCACCAAGGCTGCATATATTTGATCAGAAATACAGTAAAAACAAAAATATTTTGAAATATTATTACCATTTAAAATAACTATTTTCTATCTTAATATGTTTTAAAATGTAATTTATTCCTGTGATGGCAAAGCTTTACACTCTGTAAAAAAATAGGCTAAATGAGAATCTACATAAAAACACATGCTAGACTAACAATATTCCCCTGTTTGTTGTTCCATCTAGTTATCCAAGCAAACAATGCAGATTTGTGAGCTCCCAGCATGCATTGTAGCATAAATTGATTATCTGGTTGTTGCTTGCTGATGTTTTTGTCGTCATTCTTAGTTATTTGTTGTATAGTGATGTTAAGAGCTCATTCTGTGTTTGTGCTTGTCACCATGATTGACGTTTGTGTTAAGCATTGAGCACTGTTTGTGCCTGTGTTGAACTATTGCTTTTAATATCTTTGCAGTTGCACAGTGGAAATTATACAGTTGCTGTCAATGGGAGAATTTTAAAAGAATTTGGACTTTTTGATCTGAAACATCTGCAAATTAATTTGCAATCTGTTGAGGATCGTCTTACACAATGTAGTTAATGAGTTAAGCATCAACTATCTTCTAACTAACAACTGTATTTTAATTTATTTTCACCAAGGCTGCATATATTTGATCAGAAATACAGTAAAAACAAAAATATTTTGAAATATTATTACCATTTAAAATAACTATTTTCTATCTTAATATGTTTTAAAATGTAATTTATTCCTGTGATGGCAAAGCTGAATTTTCGGCAGTCATTACTCCAGTCTTCAGTGTCACATGATCCTTCAGTAATCATTCTAATATGCATATTTGCTGCTCAAGAAACATTTATTATTATTTTCAATATTGAAACAGTTGTGCTGCTTAATACTTGTAGTGTACTTTTACTAAGACCTCTGTTACCTGGGACTTAAACCTATGACCAATTGGCATTGCTAGTGCCATGCTCTGTTTAAGCTACAGGAATCCAAAAATGTCATCACATTGCCTTGTTTTTTAAACCAACTTTTTCTCAACAACTTCTCTTTTTTTCTTATTTTACTGTGCAATCCCACCTAATGACCCTGACTAAATCATTCCAGCTGTGAAAGCATGTAAGTAAGCCCTGATGATGACACAGCATCCATGTAAGCAGTATCTTTTACTTAAGAAACTTTATACCGCTCATGCAATTAAGAGCTCTTACAAAGGACATGTGCAACATAATCTTGTTGGTTTTTATTGAGAACAGTGTATCACTAAATTATGGATGTTGCTTTACCTCTAAATCTCACTAGATGTACCATCTGCCTCAGGATCAAAACCCTAAACAGTGGGCAATGAAAATCAGCTTAGTCAAAAATCAGACCAGGCACCCTGCCAAGCCAGATTCACCTCAATTAAACTGCGGGGACAAGCCTGCTAATTCAATGCATTTAACATTCGCCATGGAGTTATACACAAACTGCAGACTTGTTTACAGTCAGGCCAGCTGAACGCCACTGCTAAATTGTGTTAGAGGGCTATATGCAGCAATTTTTTAATAAACTAGAGTAGTACTTTAAAAACCGTTATGGAACAGCATCTAGCAGCAAGGCGACACATTAATCTTTCTTTGGCTTCTGCAGAAAGTGCTACACTACATGGCCAAAGAAAGGTATGTATGTGGACGCCTCTTTCAGTTACATGATGTATAAAACAAGAGTGTTGCATATTAAGCCTTGCATATATTAAGTACATTTATTAATGTTTTTATAAACACTACTGTTCAAAAGTATGGGGGTTGTAAGATTTTATTTTTATTTTATTTATTAAATTGATAGTAAAGACATTTATAATGTCACGTTTTTTTTTTTTTGTCAAATAAATGCTGTTCTTTTGAACTTTCTATTCATCATATGATCCTGAAAAAAAGGATCACAGTTTCTACAAACATATTATGCGGCACAATGGTTTTCAACATTGATAAAAATAAGAAATGTTCCTTGAGCACCAAATCAGCAATGATTTAAGGATCATGTGACACTGAGACTGGAGTATTACATTTTAAAATAAATTCAAAAAGAAAACAGTTCTTTTAAATTGTAATAATATTTCACAATATTACATAGTATTTTTATCAAATAAATGCAGCCTTGGTGAAAGACTTCTTTCAAAAACATTAAAAATAAAACTTGAATGTTTTAAACTTTTGAAAGTGCTTGTACTTACAGTATGACGCATACATTGCATTAAAACCATTAAAACCACCATTATTAATGTATATATTCATAAGCTTATACATTACATTTAAATTTTACTATACATTTTAAAATGGCAGAAATAATGAACATTTACTTAACTTCTTAACTTTATCTTTGGTTGAAGCTAACATAATATTGTATTTTTGTTTAGCAGACATTTTCATTCTAAATATAAATGGCACAGAACCAGTTGAGGACCCTGGTTTGCTGAGTCTGGTATGGAAGAACTTGACTAGTGTTTACAAAACGCCAACCTGAACCCCATAACACACTTCTTGGATGAATTGAAATGCAGACTGTCAGCCAGACCCCGTCGCCTGTCATCAGAGCCTGACCTCAATGATACTCTTGTGTCTAAATGGGAGCAAATCCCAGCATCCGTGATCCAGCGTCTACTGGAAAGCCTTCACAGAAGAGTTAATGCTCATGGTCAACAAGCACAATTGCTATGACGTTCTGGTGTCAACGTACATCTTATAGTTTAATCAAACAATTGATGTTTTTTTTTGTTTTTTGTGGGTACCCTTGAGTATGAACAGGCGAGTTATCTGGGCCAAGCACTTCATCACCCTCCCCTTTGTCCCCCAAACTTCTGTTTTTGGCAGAGCTTGAAGGCTTTTACCTAATCAAGCCAGACACTGTGTGACTGATTAAGAATTTGATTGCAGGAGAAGAGGATGAGGACAGAGAGCTCACGCATGCACATTCATCCAGACATCCATCTTTTGCTGCAGACATTATAGGGCACATCACAAATAATCAAAGTCTTTTGTATTCTAACTTTTTACACCGTGTCCTTCCAAATAATTCCAAATACTTTGAATTTTGTGGTTTCTTGAAACATGTGTTTCCAATAAAGTATCGACTCTAACCTGAAGCTAACTGTCTGCAGACACATGATCCTTTTCTTTCAATGCTTTTTGGTAAATGAGAGCCAACCAGCTTCATTATTGCATCAAACCTTTTTTGGACAAGTCAGTAGGCAACTGAATGGTTTTAATTAAGAATAAGTTTGTGTGCTTGTGTTTTTTAACATGTTCACTGGTATGACTGAGGATCTCCATGGGACTGTGGATTCTAACCATTTCTGGTAAGATCAGACCTGACGGAAGAGCTGTGTGGTGATATGATTCATCTTCTTAAGGCGCAGTAAGTGTTTTTGTTTCTCTGACAACAGTTAGCACAGTAATTTAGATTTTATGGTCAAATCGAAAAATTTAAATAGAGCCCAAAGCTTTTTAAGGATTATTTTGAGGTTCTAGAAATGCATTTTAAAAGGATAGCCCAGCTAACAAAAATATGTTCCAAGAACATTTTAATAATGTTACCATTAAGTCATGAAAACATTATTTTTCTTCTGTGGAAAACAAGATACTTTAAAGAATGTTTTGAATGATTTACACATACACTGAAAGATAATGGGGTCCAAAACAGCACTGAAGAAAGAAAGTCATACAGGTTTGGTACAACATGACAGTGGCTTAGAAAATGACACAATTTTCACTTTTAGGTTAACAGTTTTTTCCCCCTTAACTTTTAAGATGACTTTAAAGTATTTAAATTAATACATTATTCCTAAAAGGATAGTCTTCCGAAAAATTAAAAAACTGTATCATCATTTACTCACCTTTATGCTGCTTCAAACCCGTATCACTCTCTTTCTTCTGTGGAACATAAAAGGAGATATTCCGAAGAATGTTGGTACAGTTCTAACTGACTTCCTGTGAATGGTCAAAAAATATAATGCAAGTCAATGTGAACCAAAAATCTTTGTTTACCAACAAACGAGAATCACTGCTTCTGTAGCATGCTGTCGATAACCACAGAAAATTATTTAAAATTCATATAAAAATCATTAAATTAATTAAATAATGAATCATTTTAAAATCATCCCATAGCTTGTATAAGTCAAAACAGAACATTCAGTGGTTCTGTGCCTTTCCCTAATGCGTAGTTTTAGTCCGTCATTGCTGTATATGTTTAGGATGCAGTGAGTGTTTATGCAAGCAGTCACATGAAGCAAACTGCACAGAGGCCATATAGGAAGAGAGCACACTCGGGGGTGCCTGTCCCACTGCCGATTTGAACAGGCCCATACGGTGACACACCATGTTGCACCACACAGGCTGTGATTTCCTGCCATTCTCTCAGGACCCATCTGTTCCCACACTTTGGTGTGCTTTCTCAGCACCATCCATTCCACTCTCCGGGGACATATTGTTAAAGATGCCATGTCTGACCCACTCATAGTCGGTCATATTTTTGTCATCTTTCACAGATGATATTTGAATAGCCGGAGCTAGAGACCATGAAAAACGAGCTTCCTATTAACTATTAAGAGCTTCCTACTGAAGTGAACATATAGAAAAATCATAATTAATTCATAATTAAATCTCCATTTGAAGAGCCTCTGTTCAAAGAGATCTAACCATAATGAATGATTGTTTTAATATATAATATAATATAATATAATATAATATAATATAATATAATAATATAATATAATATAATATAATATAATAATTCCCTATGTTGTAGCTATTTATTTTTCTACATGCACTTAAAAATTCTGTATTCAAGACTAGTGGCACAAAGGTGTGCTGAATAAATCTGTTATTTGAAGAATGTCAGCTCCACATCTCTTGTGGTCAAACACAGCATTAGTAAGAAACATGAAACATGGGCTGAGAAACTATGGTGATGGGAGCTTTTAGGGCCTCAAAATATCTTGGCTCTGGAGCAGCTGAGTGCTCTGTTTTCATGTCATGGTCTATTAGTGCAATAATGGCTGTCAAATTCAACTTATTCTGAGGACTTCCTTGGAACTTGTAAACTTGCTCAGAAATACTAAATCACATTGATGTCATGCACTCAGGGAGATCACAGTTAATAATGAACATTAATTCATCAGATAAAATGTATCAATGAGTCAACGTTCTAACATTCAGTTCAAACAATATATTTGTGTATTCGAAAAATGTGAAAATATTGAACATTTCATTAGATTTAATTCTAAAATAAAAGATTTTTTTTTTAAACGATGCCCTTATTAATATAGCTACAGATTATTTTATTTGTTTAATATTTTACTTTGATCATATCAGAGATATTTGTTCCAGAAAAAAAGTAAAATTAAGTAAGCCGCACTCTTTAGTTTCTCAGCCAACAGTACGATGCGCTTTCCCTTTAAGAACCCTGTAGCACCACGGTGCTCTTGCAAAACACAACCAAAGAGGGCGGGGTTAAAGCCCACTGCGCGTATGGACCAATAGCATTACGTCGGAACAAAAACGTCAAATAGCCTCTGGACCAATCGGAGTGTTGCTATTAAAATCGTGTTGCCTGTGTGACATAAAAGCTCCTCACGAAAGACCGTTGTTTATGATTCGGTCAGTGGAGATTTCCACGCAATAACTTATATTTAAAACAATATAGTTAAAATAATAATCTAATGCAATTGCGCAACTTTACAATCCATCAAAATCAGGTGGTGCTTGTTTGAGACAGTGAACTGAAACATGTGGAGTTGTGGCGATATAACGGGCATCTGGCAACCCCGTGAAGGCGACGCGCTTTGATGTGATACAGTTGTGGTGAGCGGAGCGTCGAGACGGTCAGAGTGTCGCATTTTAAAGCGGTGAATGGAACAGCTTAAGCGAATGGCACGACTGTGCTTTGTTCCTCGCTTACAAAGAGCTCCTATGTAACCCACTCATCGTCTATCGTGACGGATCTACTGCACAAGGTACGTTTCTTTTACACATAACCCAAAAGTGTTGCAGCGTTACAATGTATTTGCGTTAACATCCAGCAGCATCTCAATCTACTTTCCTTCGGCGAGAACCTAAACAACCCTTTTCCTTGTTTTAGTCCACCTTAAGTTTTTGAGTATTTAAAAACTGGTCTTACGAGACGTATGTTTTGACTGGGGGGGAGAATGATGCGGACTTGGCACGTGCCAACCTTTGAATTGAACTGTATGGGACGACAGCCGAGCTGTCAGTGATCCGTCTGCTTGGTCTGTCAAACCCTGATATGTGCATGTCAAATGAGATAAAAACACTAATATATAGTTAGAGGCGACCTTTATAGCCTAATCGTTTGATTTTAAGCGCTTCTATTCGTCCTGATTATATAAACAGGAATAATGTGTTATTTATTGTGTCACAATTAAAATGATTCTTCGCATAAGTAAATTTGGTGATTTATAAGTGATTCTGTTTAGGTTTTTGTGAATAGAGCCCGTCTGTAGCCCCATGGCCTGGCAGTTACTTCAGCCAAATGTGTAATTTATGGCCAGACAGCCCCTTGAGATTCAAAAGATTATTTTGGACAATAGAAATACCTTTCACTGTTTGTTGTTGTGCTTTGGCCAAGCATTAGTCCAATTAGAATGACCGCTGACTGATTTTCTTGTCTGATCTGAGAGAGAGACTGATGTACTTACTGACTGTTAGATGCAGGAATTCATTTCTGTGTGTGTGTGTGTGTGTGTGTGTGTGTGTGTGTGTTTTCTTGATCTTTCCTTGGGGTTTTGACTGGGTTCTAGATATCACTACTGTAAAAATAAAATGTGTTTTTGTTTTTGAGCCCTGAAGTTAACTAGACTCATAGACTTTTTAAAAGTTGACATTTCTGGTAAAATGAATGAAAATGTTTATTTTATGTTCTTTTTATATTTATCTATTTTTATTTTATTCAATTTTTATATTTATGTATTTATTTCATTGGTATATTTAGCTTCATTTGGAAAAGGCGTAACATTTCATTCAAGTTAGTTGCTCATTAAGAATTAAAAATTGAGCATTAGATTAGTGTCATACTACCGTTTCCATGTCTGCTTAAACTGAAAATCTATTTGATGGACAATCCTTTTTGTTAACACTTCTGCTGCAACACTAACTTCACTTGTGATTTGGTCTCACAAGCACAACACTTGCATATTGATCTGTCCTTGCATTTTGCGCAATCATGATTGTGTACAGAGACCTGAAATAATGGACTTTCAACAAAGAAAGACCTTCCTGTGTTGCTGTGTCTCTTCTTTATGGGCTAAAACGTGCATTCACTGCCTATGATGTGTAATGTTTTTAAGCCTTATTAATTTGTGTGGTTCTTTGCATGATCATTGAGGATTCTTCCAATAGTGAAGATAGTTCTGACCCAGACACTAGAAGAAGGCAGTGGGGATTGAGATGTTTTTACTCCGAGATTGTCAGACAATTCTGATGCTCAAGCACTATCATTTGTACTGAATGTTAACTACAGAGAAATTACTCTGGAGGTTTTGTACTTGTGAACTGATTGAATTGCCGCTTCAGATCAGTTTTAGTACTGCAACACCGCACTTTGAGCATCTTAGATTAAACACTCTGAATATTAGATTAGGCCCTTTGGTTCTCAAATCCACATTGTCATAGATAAGTTTAAATGTGCTGCAAAATGTGTTCAGTATTGCACGATTCATTCAAGTTCATTCAAGAACCTAAAAGCCTCTCTCAAAATGTAGAATATCACTGTCAAAATGTGGATGTATACTAATATGAAGTAATGTGATCTTAAAAGGCTTTCTACAGCAAGCCTTGGGGTTGGAGATCGCAAGAAATAAGACCATCACAGATTAGCTAGTGCTTTAATCCCACTCTGTATCCTAGTGACCGTTTCAGCCTTGATTGAAGAAGCAGGTTTAGCCAGTGGCCAACAGATGATTACTGTGTTTTAGTGAAACATTTTTGACATTGCTATATTTTACGGATGTACCAATATTAAAATTCTGATACCAATGCGTGGATAATTTGATGTTACAGGTGATATTAAAACTCTATACAGTTTTGTGCAAACAGAAATAACAAATAAAATGCATTTAAAATTACATTTAATATTTTTAAATACTAGGCATCACAACATTATTAACTTAGTAAGACATATTTTAATAAAAAAATTTTTTCCAGTGTTATTAAATTATTAGTGTTTTTAAAGATTAGCTTTAAAGTTCACTCAAAAATTAAAGTACTGTCATTTTTTTCTCACCCTCAAGTTGTTCCAAACCTGTATGAGTTTCTTTCTTCGATTGAACATAAAATATATTTTGAAGTGTGTAATCAAACAGGTCCCCATTATGGAAAAAATACAATAGAAGTCAACGGGGA